CGCTTGTCGGGTTCAGTTGATTTTTTATTGTTTTGTTACTGGCTTTCTGAGGATCCCTGATGTCATTTCTGACCAGCAACAAAACCTATGACTACATCTCGCCTATGAACACCGCGAGTTATGGTTAGTTAATGGTAGTTAGCTACCATTTGCCAGGTCCAGTTGATATTTTGTTTCTGTTTTGTTGCTGGTTTTCTGAGCATCCCTGATGGTATTTCTGACCAGCAAATAGTCTATGAATGCATCTCACCTATGAGAACGTGCTACGGTAGCATGGTCACTGGTGTTAGTTATCACTTGCCAAGTCCGGCCAATTTCCTTATTTTTTTCTTATACCTACTTTTTTCAGCAACAAATTAGAAACAATCGCTGATCTATTATTTAACTCAATTATTATTGTTTTCATTTTGTTTACTGCTAGCTTGATATAAAAATAACAGTATCTAACTTGTTTTATAGGACTAGTTTGACTTAAAAAAAATTATCAACTAATTAGCAACATATTCATGTTCAACTTTTATCGATTTCTGCTAACTTTTGACTGCTAGCCTGTTAGAGCTGTAGAATATGTAAGTTAAGCCCAGAAAAAATCAATCATCAGTGTACGTTGTACTAGTGTTTTACTATTATTTATTCTGTGGTATTAGGAAATATTTACGAAATGCCAGGAATGTATGTCTTATAATATGAAAACACTAGCTGATACCTGCGACTTCGTCCGTCACACACATCGCTAAACACATTGTGCTTATAAAAATCGTTGTTTCTTAAAACTTGAATAACTTTATAATAAATGAAGATATCGCAATATTTCTTTTTAAAATAAGGATCAAGTGTCTAAGAAATAAAAGTTAGAAAACCTAATTGAACTCTATGCAGTAGTTTTTTCCGTGATGCGCGCACAACTGCAAACCTCTAACATTTTATTTATATAGAAGATTGTGCAATGCAATGCAAACAATACACATAGTTATGTGATTTAAAGCGGCGCCTTTACTACTAAGTTAGAAAAATACATAATAATGTCAAACTACATAAAACTATTTCATGTGTGTCATCGATTCAAATTAATATTAATAGTACTTAACATTTCTAATATTTCCGTAAAGTAATTCAGGCAAAATAAATGCTAGAGTAATGGGGGACTAATTAGGCTAATGGGGGATTCGAAATAGGACTAAAAAAATACATACAACGTTTGCGATAAAATATTTTACTTGATACGAGTACATTACTGAAGCTGTTATTGTGAGGAACTATAAGTACTTAAAACTCGATTTCCTAAAAAGTGAATACAAAACAATCTTTTCAAACGACTTCAAAAAAGGAGTAGGTTCTCAATTCATCGGAATCCTATTTTTATGTATGTCCACCGATTACTCAGAGACGCCTGAACCGATTTGGAAAACTCTTTTTTTTCGTTTCTATACTGAATATAATTCCCAGGTGGTCCCATTTAAATTCTATCTCGGTATTTAATCTAAATCGGTCGAGGGGTTTTTAAAAAATCCACAAATTATATTCATATTGAAGTCGTTTGTACAAAATTTTAAATTTACCTACCACTTGTTAAAGAATAAAAATTATTACGCCTTATGTATATTTTTCAGGTCTTGGTGCCGGCAATGTTCTCGTGGCAGTTCTCCACAAACGGTGCTGTGCCCCCAGGCGCAGTTGAAGCTGGTGTCACAGCTGATGGAGAAAAGTTATACTTCGGAAGGGTGACACATGATGGATGTACTACTCCTGGCAAGGTATATAGTATATTGACATTTTAATTTTTAAGTCATATTGAATATTAAAGTCTTTGAAATAATTTTTTTCTTATTTCTCAGACAGGTTTCTTCACGATGTTTTCCTTCACTGCCGAGCACGTGGTAAATCAGCACTTAAAATTGCAATTAACAATTTCTTGGGTGCCGGCGGGGATCGAACCCGTGTTCCTCGCGTACTGTCAAATTTACAGTGTGCAGCACCGGAGCTACCACGGCTCTTATTTAATTTTATATTCATACTGATACAAACAAACGTAAAGTACGAACCAACCTTTACACGGTCAAACAGCTGACCACAGGCCACAAGCCTCATTGCTAAGAAGGTTGGATGGTTGGATTAATGACTAAGAAGGTTGGATGGCAGTTGTACATACAAAAACATAGAAGTAATTTATTATTAAAAATAAAGAACAATAACCTTAGTTAACTATTGTTTTAAAAAAAATGTTCAAAATGCGTTTATATGTTTGTCAAAAGGTGCTTCAAGCAAGCCGTGTTGATATTATCACCATGAAACGCTGGCACTCCAGAGATGAACACGAATTTAACGATATACCTAATAATAGATAACGATCTCACACTACAAATTACGTGAAGCCGTTTAGCCTACATAAGTTAATTTTTTTATAGAAATAAGGGTAATAAACGAGCACACAGCCCACCTGATGGATCGAAAGCATTTGAAATAAAAAAGCAGATGCGCTGCCATTCTTTTGGAGTAAGATGTATTGCCTCATTACCAGTATAAAGTGTATCCAGTTTTCGTCAATCACGAATCACAGCAGCACTGTACTACTATTCCACGCTAGTATTCTTCTGTGCAAGAGCAAGAGTGCTGCAACTCTGATGCACTGAAGCACAGCGTACAGACGTTATTGACTAATTAATTTAATTGTTTAAACTAATTAATTAATAAATTATTGTCCATCCGCCTCTAAAGTCTCCAAAAGAGAACGGTCATTAGAAATATGCCTACATCAAATTAAATGTGTGAATGACTCTGTTTTTCCCAGATCCACCCAAGTCACGGTGCTTGCTATTACCCATTCGATGGCGAGGAGAGGAGCAGCGCGGAGTACGAGTGCCTTGTTCTCATGTAGACCTATCTATTCACCAAAGTTTCCTCGTTTTTATATACTTTAGAAATTATTAACAAAGAGTTACACTGGAAGAAGTGAAAATGGTGTTCATTTTGAAATATCCGTACCATAGAACAGAGTATCGTAAAAGAATTTGAAGTAAAATTATAGTTAAAATTGTTATGAAGAAATATATTTATTAATAAAGTTTTTTTTAGTATAAGTTTTAGAACTTTGACTGTACCCACATCTTACGTATCTTCGATTTCGGTGAATGTTGAAGTCGCGCGGCGACGGAATTCACGTTGAACTGCCGTGACGGACTCGTTATTTCTGATGAAGATTACGTACGCGAAAACACGGTGTTCCTACAACCACAGGTCCACAGGCGGGCTCCACAGGCTTTGACAGATAAACAAATGCTAAGACCCTATGAATCTCACGATACCAACTCTACCCCGTTTCAAAAACGTCCGCCTTCACTGCCCCAGCCTGTAGAAACCATGCCCAACTTTTTGATACTCGTTTACGCACACTTCTTTCTTTATTTATCAGCCCATATAAGTTCACTGCTGGACGCACACATATGCACCTTAAGTCGTGTTCTTGGTTGGAAAGGATTTTAGATGCCATATGTGTACGTGAGTGCGTGTTCCTACAATAGGTTAAGCATAGTCTTGACTTGGTTTTGCGTTACTTGAATGTACGTGGCGTCTTTCTTTCTTTGTTAGGCTGGAAGTTAGGTGCAGACATTATTTTTTTAAAATCAAATGGTTTATTTGTGAATCACAGGTTACAAAAGAGTCCTATTTAAATACAAATAAAGTTCAGTCTCTGATCAGCCTCATGGGCATACAAATGCCAAATATCATTAGTATGTAGTTCATTGATTACATTATTCATAATAATAGATTAGATTATTGGATTCAATTATTCATATCAAATAATATTAGTTACACTGGATTAGATTATTCATATATTATTAGATCAAAATTATTAGTCGTTAGATTTGTAGTTTCTTTGTCGTTAGGCGTGTAATACAGTCAACCGGACATTAACTATCTGATACTCGACAAAAATTCATCAGTAGAATTAAATTAATGTTATGTGGAACAATTTGTCTTTGAAAATTTGTATATCGTTACACTCTTTGATGTATTCGGGATCTTATTGTATATTTTTTTTATAGGATAGGGTGACAAACGAGCACACAGTCCACCTGATGGTAAGTGGTTACTGTGACCCATAGACATCTCCATCTATCCTCAATAAAGACTCAAGACGCAGATGCGTTGTCACCCGTGAGTAGATGGAATGCCTCTTTGCCAGTAAAAGGGTCTCCGGTTCTCTACACTCACCATACGAAACACAGCAGCGTTAAGCTGCTATTTTACGCTGGTTTTCTGTGAGAGCGTGGTCCTTCCCCGGTCGAGCCGACCCATTCGTGCTACAACTATACCACTAATATAGCTGCAGCATGGCTCTACCACGTAAATGAAATGCAATTCAAACAAAAAACCTAATCATACTTTTAATACAAATTCGGTATATAATAACAAAGAAGTCCAAATAACAACAACAACAAAGTTTCTTGGCGTTCACATTGATGAAAATCTGAAATGGCAAAGACAAAGTGTCACAGTCATCTTATAACTAGCAAAAAAATTCAGTCGCCCCATATTACTTATGGCTTATGATATGATGAGGCTATTAGATATACAATAATCTTTTGGGGAAACGCCCCTAACTGGGATAAAGTGTTTAAATGTCAAAAATGTGTATCAGTGCTATGTGTGGTTTAGAAAGAACTGATAGCTGTAAGGATTATTTCATCAAATTAAAATTACTTACCAAATTACTTACGTATCATCACTATACATATTTGAAATGGCTTTATTTATCACGTAATATCCATCACTGTTTAAACTAGAGATATCGAGATTTCGCAATAGAAGCAGATTACACCTTACCTTGGTAGACACGTCTAGTTACAAAATATTCTCTAAAATATACACCTTGTGATTGCTATCATATCCAAGGTAATAAATGCTGACTGATATGTTTACAAACTCACCTTTACCAATGAGTAGGCGCAGCAAGCGGTTACACTGGATTACACTGACTCACTTTGCGTTGCGCGTCATTCATTCCCACTCGGATATCCGATTGGGACGTTCGCCTTTGCCTTCTGTGTTGAGACGATAATAATAGTCTTTAAATATTTGAGACTAAAGATTGTGTACAGTTTTATTTGGACCGTCAGTTTTTTTTAATCTAATTATTATAACCATGAAGGCGTTTGTGATCGGCTTTGTAATGTTCTGTAAGTATTACTTTTTGTAGCTTTTCAATGACACTGTTTAATATTAATTAGGGTTTTCAGTTCTACCTGCTTCGAATGATAATATACTTCTCTTGCAAAAAAAAAATACATTGTACAAAAAAAAGTAGTTTATATTTATTAACCTTCTGATTAATGTATGCAAAGGAAATGGTTTAGCTTTCCATTGACGTCCGTCAAGTTGGGTGCTGATACGCACTTTTACAGAAAAGTTACACTATTATAAGCACACACACAAAGTTTCAACACGCGGAAACGTAATTTTTGAGAAAAGAATTATTGAAAATCAATTATTCTTGCAATGTTTAATGTCTAATCCTACCGTAAAACTGGCGCCATTTTGTAATGTCAATGTCGACGTTAATAGGGATGTCGATTCTTTCCGAAAAAGGTCGATTTTGCGTTTATATTTACATTATAAATAGAAACATAAAAAAATATAGGTATTTTAGAAATCGATTTTTTGTGAACCGATACATCAGCTTACGATTTAAATCGATTTAAAAACTCGATCTTTTTCGGAAAGAATCGACATCCCTACTGACAATAATAATAAAAAATGGCGTCAGTTTCATAGTAGGTAGGAATTGACATAAATATTGCAAAAATATTTGATTTTCAATACTTTTCTCTCAAAAAATACATGTTTCCGCATATTGAAACTTTGCGTGTGTGCTTATAAAAATGTAATCTTTCTGTAAAAATACCAAACTCGACGGACGTCAATGGAAAGTCGTACCAAGGAAATAATTATACGTTAAAAAAATAAAAGCCAAAATAAAAAAATAAAAACTATAAGCATCAAATTAAATTCCAAATAGTTTAATAACTTCTGAAGTCGGTGCTAAGTCATAGTTTATTAAAACCACAACTCCAGAAGCTTTTTAATTATATGGAATTTATTTTAGTGTTTTTTTTTTAATTTGGGTTATTATTTATTAAAAGTATTATTATTTACATTGAAACATTAATCAAATAAATAGATTAAAATGCCTTTTTTAGTTTTCTGAAGTCAGTTCTTTTTTAAGTTTCATGATTTGACCCCTTTGAGTAATATGTCAGAAGCTAGAATGCCGTCTAAATTGTTACATAAAAAACTTCACCCTTATTGTTTTCTTCGAACGACTACCTTAAGTTTAAATATAAAATAAGTTAAAAGACGCTTTATAATCCGTAAAATTAGTTTCATTAATTATTTTCCAGATTTCTTTATGAAAAGTGGACACTGTAGTGGCCAGTTGTGTTATACAAACAAGGCAGTTTAGTTTACTCTTTCCACATCGTATATTATAGAAAACCAGTACTCGAAATAGTTATTATATTACTAATATAATATAATATTGCAAAATACGAGTCACAACCCTATTAATATCATGTGTTGATACTTGATAATTCCTGTGATTATATTAAAGTACCATAAAGCTGTTCAATTTTTAATTATGATTACATAGTATGTAGGTATGGTTAATATACGGCGTGATGGCAACCACATGGTTTAGCGGTTAAAATACTTGACTACAGTATTGAGGTTAACGCGTTCAAGTCGGACCTGATATCACGTGCACAAAACACCAATTACGGGTCTTGTTGAGATTGTTCAAGTGTGATTGTCTCTGACCCTGAGTATTAAGTTACCTGCGATCTTATCGCTTTACTTGACACGGGTAGGGTAAGCAATAAATCTTGATTTACTACTACTGTCATCCATTAAATGAAAGTTTTTGTCACGTCTCTATTACGGTTAACAAAAAATTTATCAGCAATCAATTGAGACAAGTATCAGAATAAAAAAATATATGCAAAGTAAAAACCCTGAAAATTTAATTTAAAATATCTATAACATATAATCTGTTATATCCTTAAATATGTTTAAATAAGTTTGATCTACATATATGTATATGTGTGTATGTTTGTGTGTGTGTATGTATGCATGTATTTGTGTGTGTATGTGTATGCGTGAAATTTATCAATTTTAGGTTTTCATCCTAGTTCCTAGCCCACTGCAGTACACACACATCTTTCACTAACTTTCCGGTTGGCTGGTAGAAAATGCCATAATGTATAAAGTCCGCCGTTTGTACCTTTAGTAAAATAAAGTGTGTAAATAAATAAATAAATAAAATTAAAATAAAACTTAACTTATTTTATATGCCCGACGTTTCGAATATTTTACAGCACCCATGGTCACGGAGGTACTTAGGTTTTCGACGTCCTAATGTCATAGTTAACCACGGCTACCTTCAGATTGAAGTTATTATTTTTTGGTACAATCTGAGTTGGCTATTTAACTTTATGTTTTTTGAATCAGTGGTAAATTAATGTTAAACATGACTTTTAACAAATATTGTTCATAATTTATATTAAATACAAAAAAAATCTATTTCTGTTGCAGCCCACTGCTAAATATTATGATTACCACAAGGCGCGGTTCTGAACCATTACATTCACATTTAATTTTTGATTTTCCGTTGACAACACATTTTGTGGCATTTTTAGTTTGAAATTGTTAACGCGCTGTAATAGCCACCCAGAATCTCCATGAATCTTAGCTCGTTTAATTAAGGTAAATTATCATAAAAAGCCGCAAAATTTTATTAAAACTATTCTCAGACGAGTCAATAACGAGTCGTTTGAGGTTGATTAAAAACATATAGGCAGTATATAAGCTACGATTCACAAATACTAATGCAAACCATGTGCTAAATAAGGCCTGGGAAGTATTACCGAAAAGCGCATGTGTTAAATGAAATCAAATGCACATCACATGATCAAGATTACCGGTCGAAGTAAATGTAAGTTATGAGGAAGAGGTGATTATTATACATTATAAATCGATATTTTATAACATAACTGCGATGTATATAAGTATGAGATACTCAAGACCTATTTTACATAATGTGAAGCACTTTATTACGTTTCAAGTACAATATCTTACAATATCTTATCTTTCTACCAAGTTTATTTTATTATAAAAATATTAAGTATTATAAGCCAGTAATTGACTAGTATGATACAATACCTGGTAGAAAATGACGATAAAGCCCTAAGTGATAAATCGCACTGCCTTAGTGTAACAAAAACCTAATCACTCTTACCTTGAAGACAATCAGATTGTATTCGGATTAAAAGGCAGACGCTGGCAAATTATTCCACTTATTTGCTAAACGCTACGCAAGATTGGTCACAACTTAATCGAGGTACCTGTTATTACGTTTCTCCACCGCGTCCACAACTGCTAGGTGTCATTTTGCAGCACCAGCACATATATAACAGCAGTTTATGGAACTCTATCGGACTTGAACTTACAGGTTAGAAGCTGCGCCGGTGTTAAATGCCACCGCACCTTTAAGAGGAGGTAATTTTGTCTAAAGTGAGCACTGGTATTCCAGGGACAATACGCTTGCCGTCAGTTTCATAGTAATAGTAATTCTTATTCGATCCTCGGCTCAGACATCAATGAAATGATTTGCTGTTGTTTAAATTGAAAGTATTGATTTACAACAAAACTATTAAAGGAGACCCTCATAAGGAATCCTGCAAATGTAAGAATATATAATACGTATAACACGCACGTAGAACTCAATAGTGTTAGGCCTGTGGCACACACAACTTTCTGAACGAACGACGGTCCCGGGTTCGAATCTCAGGTTGGGCTAAAATCAGCTATTAAGTTATTCTGTCAAGAAATTCCCAGTAGCAGTCCGGGGTCGGGTTGTTGGCGATGTTTTACCTCTGTGCATCGGAAAACACGTAAAGCCGTTGGTCCAGCGTCTGATCTCTCTCAGAGCAGATTCGAGCAACTCGAGCAGATTGCAGTCCCATTTGACTGTACGAGTGAGAGAATAGAAAGTACATCTGCGCTTGCATATATATGTACTTATACACTAAAATCCTGACTTGCACTGATGACTGGTCTCCGTTAAGACTGGCCGCCTTTACCGAAATTACAGGAGGATATTTTTAAGCTTGTACTTACATGTTAACATTAGAATAAGGCATTCTTTCCGGCATAGATTTTCTACATTTTCTGTATTTTCAAGTTAATGCCATTTTGTGCATGTATCCATTAAAATGGTCTGCCATTGTAAAAATGTAAATCGAACATGGTTACAAAATGTGTCATACGATGATACGGAAAGTTGCTGATTGTTTCAAATTAATTTATGATAGTATAATTTATAACAATTAACTCTGATTAGTTGGTATATGATTTTATGTAAAAATCAGAGCATAATTGTTATAACACACTAGCTGACCCGGCGAACTTCGTACCTCCTAACAGTCGATTCTTTATTTTTTTTTTAATACTTATTCTACTATTCGTATAGTGCACATAATACGTTACAGAACAAAATTCCTATGCTAATTTTGTCTGCCGACTTCCAAAAAGGAGACGGTACTCAATTCGACGCTTATGTTTTTTTTTATGTATGTTACCTCATAAGTTTTTACTGGGTGGACCGATTTCGATGATTCTTTTTTTATATGAAAGCTGATATTTCTCGTGTGGTGTTGATCAAGGTCAGTCCAATAGTTTTGAGTTATTTGAGTTATTCTTAATAACTTATATTGAAGTCGGCTGTACAAAATTTTTAATTTTAAATTATTTTATCTATATTATAGTACGTAGTAATAATATATTACTTTATAACACCTATGACACCCAGTGTTACCATGGGTGCTGTAAAGTACTCGAAACGGCGGGAATTTAAAATAAGTTAATATACATGATAAAATTCGTAAAAAATAGTTTTATTTAAATGTGCAGTGTTCGCGTAAACATAAGAAGTCATTAAATAATATATTTCTATAAATTTTGACGTTTAGCCACAAACCGCAAATTATTCGATTTCAGCAAGGTTGTTTGCGATGATCCGTGACTGTTCACTTGTCCTTGTCAAATTAGTCTTCCTAAAAAATGTTTTCCTGTTGTTTAACTTTTATACGTTCTGTATAATTTGTGCCATAGACAAGTGGTAATA